GCTCCACCATCCTCTGGCGTCACCTCTGCCACGCTCCGATTCTCGATCATTCCCGTGGCCACCAGTCCACTCGCACTCCAGGCTGACTCCCCCTGTTACTACCTCCCGTGGCCACCAGTCCCCTCACACTGCAGGCTGACTCCCCTGTCATTACCTCCCGTGGTCACTAGTCCACTCACACTGTAGGCTGACTCCCCTGTCACTACCTCCCGTGGCCACCAGTCCACTCACACTGCAGGCTGACTCCCCTGTCATTACCTTCCGTGGCCACCAGTCCACTCACACTGCAGGCTCACTCCCCCTGTCACTACCTCCCGTGGCCACCAGTCCACTCACACTGCAGACTGACTCCCCTGTCACTACCTCCCGTGGCCACCAGTCCACTCACACTGCAGACTGACTCCCCTGTCATTACCCCACGTGGCCACCAGTCCACTCACACTGCAGACTGACTCCCCTGTCACTACCTCCCGTGGCCACCAGTCCACTCACACTGCAGGCTGACTCCCCCGTCATCACCTCCCGTGGCCACCAGTCCACTCACACTGCAGACTGACTCCCCTGTCACTACCTCTCGTGTCCACCAGTCCACTCACACTGCAAGCTGACTCCCCTGTCACTACCTCCCGTGGCCACCAGTCCCTTCACACTGCAGGCTGACTCATCTGTCATTACCTCCCTTTGGCCACTAGTCCACTCACACTGCAAGCTGACTCCCCTGTCACTACCTCTCGTGGCCACCAGTCCACTCACACTGCAGGCTGACTCCCCCTGTTACTACCTCCTGTGGCCACCAGTCCACTCACACTGGAGACTGACTCCCCAGTCATTACCTCCCGTGGTCACCAGTCCACTCGCACTGCAGACTGACTCCCCTGTCATTACCCTCCGTGGCCACCAGTCCACTCACACTGCAGACTGACTCCCCTGTCACTTCCTGCTGTGGCCACCAGTCCACTCACACTGCAGACTGACTCCCCTGTCATTACCTCCCGTGGCCACCAGTCCCCTCACACTGCAGACTGACTCCCCTGTCACTACCTCCCGTGGCCACCAGTCCACTCGCACTGCAGCCTGACTCCCCTGTCATTACCTCCCGTGGCCACCAGTCCACTCACACTGCAGACTGACTCCCCTGTCACTACCTCCCGTGACCACCAGTCCACTCACACTGCAGGCTCACTCCCCCTGTCACTTCCTGCTGTGGCCACCAGTCCACTCACACTACAGGTTGACTCCCCTGTCATTACCTTCCGTGGCCACCAGTCCACTCACACTGCAGGCTGACTCCCCTGTCATTACTTCCCGTGGCCACCAGTCCACTCACACTGCAGGCTGACTCCCCCGTCATCACCTCCCGTGGCCACCAGTCCACTCACACTGCAGACTGACTCCACTGTCACTACCTCCCGTGGCCACCAGTCCACTCACACTGCAGGCTGACTCCCCCTGTCATCACCTCCCGTGGCCACCAGTCCTCTCACACTGCAAGCTGACTCCCCTGTCACTACCTCCCGTGGCCACCAGTCCCTTCACACTGCAGGCTGACTCCTCTGTCATTACCTCCCTTTGGCCACTAGTCCACTCACACTGCAGACTGACTCCTCTGTCATTACCTCCCGTGGCCACCAGTCCACTCACACTGCAGACTGACTCCCCTGCCACTACCTCCCGTGGCCACCAGTCCACTCACACTGCAGGCTGACTCCCCCTGTCATTACCTTCCGTGGCCACCAGTCCACTCACACTGCTGGCTGACTCCCCTGTCATTACCTCCCGTGGCCACCAGTCCACTCACACTGCCGGCTGACTCCCCTGTCATTACCTCCCGTGGTCACCAGTCCACTCACACTGCAGACTGACTCCCCTGTCATTACCTCCCGTGGCCACCAGTCCACTCACACTGCAGGCTGACTCCCCTGTCATTACCTCCCATGACCACCAGTCTACTCACACTGCAGGCTGACTCCCCCTGTCACTACCTCCCGTTGCTACCAGTTCACTCACACTGCAGGCTGACTCCCCTGTCATTACCTCCCGTGGCCACCAGTCCACTCACACTGCAGGCTGACTCCCCTGTCATTACCTCCCGTGGCCACCAGTCCACTCACACTGCAGGCTGACTCCCCCTGTCATCATCTCCCGTGGCCACCAGTCCACTCTTACTGCAGGCTGACTCCGCTGTCATTACAGATGAATGGACTCACGTGACCCAGGGGTGTTGGGATCTGTTGGCGGTGTTCCAGGCAGTCGGAGGGCCTTGGGTCTGTGGGGGGTCCCGGTGTCTGTGTGGGGGGTCCCAGTGTCCATTGGGTGGGGTGGGGGGGGGGAGTGGGGGGGGGACGTCCCCCCGGGGGTAGCACGTGAGCCATTCTCTGTCCGCTGCTTGCCGGCCGCAGTCGGCTTCACGACGGAGGACCTCCGCTTCAACTGGGCCCCGGGCGACCCGGTGCAGATGGACGAGATGTCGCTGCCGCAGTTCGACATCAGCAACGACGACATCCGCTACGGGAACTGCACCAAGTTCTACCCGGGAACCGGTGGGCACCGCATCGCCACCGCACCGCCATCAACGCACCACCACCAACGCACCACCACCACACCACCACCACCGCACAATCACCGCACCACCACCACCACCGCACCACCACCAACGCACCACCACCACACCACCACCACACCACACCACCACCAACGCACCACCACCACACCACTGCCGCGCCACCACTACCGCACACCGGCAACTCACCGCGTGCCGTGCCACCAAAACAGCACGCCACACAGCCCAGCCCCAACGCACCCCACTGCTGCTGCTGCTGATGATGCCGATGGTGACGATGGTGGTGATGTTGATGGTGGTGATGTTGATGGTGATGTTGATGGTGATGATGGTGGTAATGTTGATGGTGATGTTGATGATGGTAATGATGGTGGTGATGTTGATGGTGATGATGGTGGTGATGTTGATGATGGTAATGATGATGTTCATGGTGGTGATGGTGATGATGGTGGTGATGTTGATGGTGGTGATGGTGGTGATGTTGATGATGGTAATGATGATGTTCATGGTGGTGATGGTGATGATGGTGGTGATGTTGATGGTGGTGATGGTGGTGATGTTGATGGTGGTGATGGTGGTGATGTTGATGGTGGTGATGGTGGTGATGTTGATGGTGATGATGGTGATGTTGATGTTGATGGTGATGTTGATGGTGGTGATGTTGATGGTGGTGATGGTGATGGTGATGATGGTGATGGTGATGTTGATGGTGGTGATGGTGATGTTGATGTTAATGTTGATGGTGGTGATGGTGATGGTGATGTTGATGGTGATGATGTTGATGGTGATGATAATGTTGATGGTGATGTTGATGTTGATGGTGATGTTGATGGTGGTGATGGTGTAGGCTACTATACGTGTGTGGAGGTGATCTTCACAATACGTAGACAGGTGGCGTTCTACATCATGGGGGTCTACGCCCCCACGCTGATGATGATGATGTTGATGGTGATGATGATGTTGATGGTGGTGATGGTGATGTTGATGGTGGTGATGTTGATGTTGATGGTGGTGATGTTGATGTTGATGGTGGTGATGGTGATGTTGATGGTGATGTTGATGATGATGTTGATGGTGGTGATGTTGATGTTGATGGTGGTGATGTTGATGGTGGTGATGGTGATGTTGATGGTGATGATGGTGATGATGTTGATGGTGATGATGGTGATGTTGATGGTGGTGATGGTGGTGGTGATGGTGATGTTGATGATGATGATGGTGATGTTGATGGTGATGATGTTGATGGTGATGGTGATGATGTTGATGGTGATGATGATGATGATGGTGATGTTGATGGTGATGTTGATGATGTTGATGGTGGTGATGGTGTAGGCTACTACACGTGTGTGGAGGTGATCTTCACGCTACGCAGGCAAGTGGGGTTCTACATCATGGGGGTCTACGCCCCCACGCTGATCATGATGATGTTGCTGGTGATGTTGATGGTGGTGATGTTGATGTTAATGATGATGTTGATGGTGATGATGTTGATGGTGATGATGGTGATGTTGATGGTGGTGATGGTGGTGGTGATGGTGATGTTGATGATGTTAATGATGATGTTGATGGTGATGATGTTGATGGTGATGATGGTGATGTTGATGGTGATGATGTTGGTGGTGATGTTGATGGTGATGTTGATGATGTTGATGGTGGTGATGGTGTAGGCTACTACACGTGTGTGGAGGTGATCTTCACGCTACGCAGGCAAGTGGGGTTCTACATCATGGGGGTCTACGCCCCTACGCTGATGATGGTGATGTTGATGATGATGATGTTGATGGTGATGTTGATGGTGATGATGTTGATGGTGGTGATGTTAATGTTGATGGTGGTGGTGGTGGTGATGGTGGTGATGTTGATGGTGATGTTGATGGTGATGTTGATGATGTTGATGGTGATGTTGATGATGTTGATGGTGATGATGTTGATGGTGGTGATGGTGGTGATGTTGTAGGCTACTACACGTGTGTGGAGGTGATCTTCACGCTACGCAGGCAAGTGGGGTTCTACATCATGGGGGTCTACGCCCCCACGCTGCTCACCGTGGTGCTGTCCTGGCTCTCGTTCTGGATCAACCCAGAGGCGAGCGCGGCACGCGTACCCCTGGGTCAGAGCACACACACACCACCTACCACTACACCGCCTACCACTACACACACACACACCACCTACCACCACACACACACACAGCGCCTACCACTACACCGCCTACCACTACACACACACAGCGCCTACCACTACACACACACAGCGCCTACCACCACACACACACCGCCTACCACCACACACACACCACCTACCACTACACACACACACACCACCTACCACCACACACACACACCACCTACCACCACACACACACACAGCGCCTACCACTACACCGCCTACCACTACACACACACACCGCCTACCACTACACACACACAGCGCCTACCACCACACACACACCGCCTACCACCACACACACACCACCTACCACCACACACACACCACCTACCACCACACACACAGCGCCTACCACCACACACACACACACACCACCTACCACTACACCCACACCACCTACCACCACACACACACACACCACCTACCACCACACACACACCACCTACCACCACACACACAGAACCTACCACTACACCCACACCGCCTACCACTACAGCCACAGCACCTACCACTACACACACACACCGCCCACCACACACACACACACAGCGCCTACCACCACACACACACCACCTACCACCACACACACACACACCACCTACCACCACACACACACACACCACCTACTACCACACCCACACCACCTACCACCACACACACACACACCACCTACTACCACACACACACACACCACCTACTACCACACCCACACCACCTACCACCACACACACAGCACCTACCACTACACACACACACACCACCTACCACTACACACACACAGCGCCTACCACCACACACACACCACCTACCACCACACACACAGCGCCTACCACTACAGCCACAGCGCCTACCACTACACACACACCACCTACCACCACACACACATCGCCTACCACTACACACACACACCACCTACCACCACACACACACACACCACCTACCACTACACACACCACCTACCACTACACACACACCACCTACCACTACACCCACACCACCTACCACCACACACACACACACCACCTACCACTACACCCACACCACCTACCACTACACACACACACCACCTACCACTACACACACACAGCGCCTACCACTACACACACACCACCTACCACCACACACACACCACCTATCACCACACACACACACCACCTACCACTACACACACACACACCACCTACCACCACACACACACACACCACCTACCACCACACACACACACACCACCTACCACCACACACACACACACCACCTACCACCACACACACACACACCACCTACCACCACACACACACACACCACCTACCACTACACACACACCACCTACCACCACACACACACCACCTACCACCACACTCACACCACCTACCACCACACACACACACACCACCTACCACTACACACACAGCGCCTACCACTACACACACACACCACCTACCACCACACTCACACCACCTACCACCACACACACACACACCACCTACCACCACACACACACCACCTACCACCACACACACACCACCTACCACTACACACACACAGCGCCTACCACTACACACACACCACCTACCACCACACACACACACCACCTACCACTACAGCCACACCGCCTACCACTACACACCCACACCGCCTACCACCACACACACACCACCTACCACTACACACACACCGCCTACCACTACACACCCACACCGCCTACCACCACACACACACCACCTACCACCACACACACACCACCTACCACTACACCCACACCACCTACCACCACACACACCACCTACCACCACACCCACACCACCTACCACTACACACACACACCACCTACCACCACACACACACCACCTACCACCACACCCACACCACCTACCACCACACACACACCACCTACCACCACACACACACCACCTACCACTACACCCACACCACCTACCACCACACACACACCACCTACCACCACACACACACCACCTACCACTACACACACACCACCTACCACTACACACACACCACCTACCACTACACACACACCACCTACCACCACACACACACCACTACACACACACTGCCTACCACCACACACACACACCACCTACCACTACAGCCACACCGCCTACCACTACACACACACCGCCCACCACACACACACACACAGCGCCTACCACCACACACACACCACCTACCACCACACACACAGCGCCTACCACTACACACACAGCGCCTACCACTACACACACACCACCTACCACTACAGCCACACCGCCTACCACCACACACACACCGCCTACCACTACACACACACCGCCTACCACTACACACACACCACCTACCACTACACACACACCGCGCCTACCACTACACACACACACCGCCTACCACCACACACACACACCGCCTACCACTACACCCACCGCCTACCACTACACACACACACCGCCTACCACTACACACACACACCGCCTACCACTACACCCACCGCCTACCACTACACACACACACCGCCTACCACTACACCCACCGCCTACCACTACACACACACACCGCCTACCACTACAGTCACACCGCCTACCACTACACACACATCGCCTACCACTACACACACACACAGCGCCTACCACTACACACACATCGCCTACCACTACACACACATCGCCTACCACTACACACACACACAGCGCCTACCACTACAGCCACACTGCCTACCACCACACACACAGCGCCTACCACCACACACACACCACCTACCACCACACACACAGCGCCTACCACCACACACACACACACCGCCTACCACTACACCCACACCGCCTGCCACTACACCACCTACCACTACAGCCACACCGCCTACCACCACACCCACACCGCCTACCACTACACCCACACCGCCTACCACTACAGCCACACCGCCTACCACTACACACACACCACCTACCACTACACACACACCGCCTACTACTACACACACACACCGCCTACCAGTACATACACACACACCGCCTACCACCACACCGCCTACCACTACACACACACCGCCTACCACCACACACACACCGCCTACCACTACACACACACCGCCTACCACCACACACACACCGCCTACCACTACAGCCACACCGCCTACCACCACACACACACCGCCTACCACCACACACACACACCGCCTACCACCACACACACACCGCCTACCACCACACACACACACCGCCTACCACCACACACACACCGCCTACCACTACAGCCACACCGCCTACCACCACACACACACCGCCTACCACCACACACACACCGCCTACCACCACACACACACCGCCTACCACCACACACACACCGCCTACCACCACACACACACCACCTACCACCACACACACACCGCCTACCACCACACACACACCGCCTACCACCACACACACACACCGCCTACCACTACAGCCACACCGCCTACCACCACACACACACCGCCTACCACCACACACACACCGCCTACCACTACACCCACACTGCCTACCACTACACCCACACTGCCTACTACACACACACACACACCGCCTACTACTACACCCACACCGCCTACCACTACGACCTCCTACTACCACTACTGTCCGAACTCAAGCGCTGTCTTCTGGACAGTCCTGTTTCTTCACCTGAGGAAGGCTACTTGTGTTGTGGCCGAAACGTCGTGAGAATTTTATTCTGTTATTATTATTTTTTATTATTTTATCTCCATTCTACGTGGTGACTTTACCGAAAGAAACCCAGATGATGAATCCCTGCAGTCACGAAAGCTTTGAATGGAAATTTAATCAAATGTATCGAAAAGGCATCCAACACAGATAATCTGCCCGTTGAGCTTAACCGAAATGGGGACTATTTTTCAGAGCTCCAAAAAATTGTGGACAATTTTTACCTTCATTTTTCTGTGGCGACCTTTTTGATAATGTATTGGGAGTCATCCCTTGCTCATGCAATTTCCTACACCCCTGTACCAAATCTTACAGTAAGATTTGGTAAGATTTGGTACAGTACACAAAATTCAAAAACTAGTATCTTGCACTAAAGACGCATTACCTAAATTATCAACAGAAGGTGTATATACAAACCTATACGCAATATTTTCCAACCTATCCATCAAAGAAGCATCAGTACCTCTAGAATGGAAACATTCTTATGTCCGTCCACTTCACAAAGTGGGGCCCTAAAGATGATCAAAATAACTACCGACCTATCTCAATTTTGTCCCCGTTGATGAACATATTTAAAAAATGATTGAACTACCAAATTAGCAATTTCCTGTCCGACAACAATCTCTTACATCGAAAACAATCCGGGTTCCGAAAAAAATGCAGCACCACATCTGCTGCATTAGACTCTCTGAATCACATTTAAAGTAGCCTTGATAATAAGCAGTACTGTGCCTGTCTTTTTCTTGACCTGTCCAAAGCCTTTGATACAGTGGACCACAACACCCTGCTTAGTAAACTAAGTTGCCTCGGTTTCTCCAAACACGCAGTGGAATGGTTTTAAAAATTACCTCTTTTCTCGCACCCAAACTGTATTCACAGATGGTTGGAGGTCAACAGTGTTAAGATAACAAAAGGGGTTCCACAGGGTTCCATCCTCGGCCCCCTCTTGTTCTCTCTTTATGTCAATGACTTGGGCACTGACCTGGATCATTCCAGGGTAAATCTGTTTGCAGATGACACGAAACTGATTACTGCTGGCCGCTCTCCGGATGACGTGATTGCTAAGCTCCAGGGTGATTTCAACAAACTACGTCAGCTAGTTGCTCTTAAACTAGTCCTGAATACCTCCAAAACCAAGGTGCTATGCTTCTCACCGGGACTAAAGCAGGAAGTTATTTTTCCCCCCAATTACATTCCTTAAATAATCATCAAATAGAGCAAGTCAAGATCTATAAGTATCTTGGGGTCATCTTTAATT